GTTAATATTCCATTAACATAGAAACCAAAAATGATTTAAACCATTCAAATTAAATTATATTATTTAGTTTAATTTATAAATTAAAAAGAAAAAATAGAATATAATAAACCAGATGACCAGGGCAAGTGGTCTCAAATAAACAGAACAGAAAGAACTCTAGTTGCTTAACATGAGCATTCCTGGGGCGCCTGGGTGACTCAGCGGTTGAGCATCCGCCTTCAGCTCAGGGCGTGATCCTGGGGTCCTGGGACACAGGGAGCCTGCTTCACCTTCTGCCTGTGTCTCTGCCTCTCTCTGTGTCTCTCACGAATAAATAAATAAAACCTTTAAAACAAAACAAACAAACAAAAATGAGCATTCCGGGGGGAGAATCTTCAATAATCAAGATCTCAGTTAAGCCAAATCTCATTGTTTTGATATTTTTATTATCAATCGTTTGAGCATCCAGCCTTTTAATTGACCCACATTTTCATAGTTTTTTATACAGAGGGAAAGGTCAATAGATATTCCTTGCTTTCCATTTATCTTTTTCATCAAGAAAAAAAAAATATATGGAAGGACCTTGTTCCTGGGAATAGAACGCATTGTGCAACAGGAAGATGATTGATCTTCAGTCCTTCCATGTGACCTTGGGTCTCTCGCTCATATTTTCTGAGCCACAGTTTCTTGACCACTAGTCTTGCTTATTTGACAGAAACCCTGTCTCTTTACTGATAAAGTCAATGTGATATGTGATAACCATACCTATGTGCAGTGCTACCATGAGAATCGAATGAGTTAACGTATTGAAATATGAAGTATAAATTGTTTACAATCAGACCCAGTTTTGAAACATAGTTGGCATTTTACTAGTGAATAGAAAAATAATTGCTTGTCCATTAACACTTTAATACTAGAAAAAATTAAAAGCACAACTCAAAATCTAGGTTATCAGCAGATAAAGTTCTTCAAAATATGATTATCCTTAAAGTGTAAATTTTATAAATAAATAGTCACATCAGGCATTAGCCTGATAAAAGGAATAACTCAGTAATAGTAAGTTAAGATATAGGAATAATATACTAATAATATAATAAATAAATATGATAAAAATAATCCATTGCTTGTGTGATCAAGTCCAAATTCCACTGCCAGGCATCTGGCTCTATCTACCACCATATGGCCCACTTCTCCTTGACTTTCCCTTCTCGTTTGTTTTGCAATTTAGATCATAAGCTTCTGTTCAGCATAGTTTTATCTCTATGGAAGACCCTGTTAATATAATTTCAAACCAACACAAGTATATACTTATTTTCACTTTTTTTTTTTTCACCCATAGCCCCGACTAAGAAGAATACCTTCTTTGCTGTTTTTCTCTTCGGGGTGATTTTTCCATCCCTTCTTTTCACTGGGAGGGTAATCCTTTGTGGGTCAGGAGAAAACAGAATCCATTTCCCAATCAGTGATTTGAGAAAACTCAATTTATTAAGTTATGCCCAAGGTCTTTATCTCCTAAGTAGAGACTTCTTCCAATTTACATCTTTTTGTCAAGAAAAATTATGCAATGTCCTGTCTATATTTTTGTGCCAAGAGATCTTTCCATTAAATAAAAGAAAAAAAAAGGCTTCTGCCATAAAATTAAAAATTACATGTTGTGATCTTAAAGAAAATATTAGTAAGATTTTCTACCATTGATGTGTTCCCTGAATGTTACAGATATTTAGAAAGGGTCTAGCAACACATGAAAAAATGCTCCACATCACTCGGCATCAGGGAAAACAAATCAAAAGCACAATGAGACACCACCTCACACCAGTTAGAATGGCTAAAATAAACAAGTCATGAAATGACAGATATTGGCGAGGATGTAGAGAAAGGGGAACCCTCTCACACTGGTGGTGGGAATGCAGGCTGGTGCAGCCACTCTAGAAAATATGGAGGTTCCTCAAAAAGTTAAAAATAGAGCTACCTTATGATCCAGCAATTGCACTACTAGGGATTTACCCAAAGGATACAAACATAGTGATCTGAAGGGGCACCTGCACCCCAATGTTTATAGCAGCAATGACCACAATAGCAAAACTACGGAAAGAGCCCGGATGTTCCTTGACACATGAATGGATAAAGATGTGGAATAGTACTCAGCCATCAAAATAAATGAAATCTTATCATTTGAAACCACATGGATGGAACTAGAGGGTATTATACTAAACGAATAAGTCAATCAGAGTAAGACAATTATCATACCATCTCACTCATATATGGAATTTAAGAAACAAAACAGAAGATCATAGGGGAAGGGAGGGAAAATAAAATAAGATGAAATCAGAGAGGGAGACAAACCATAAGAGACTCTTAATTAGAGGAAACAAACTGAGGGTTGCTGGAGGGGTGGGGGGTTAGGGGGTGGGGTAATTGGGTGAGGGACATTAAGGAAGGAATTTGATGTAATGAGCACAGGGTTTTATATGTAACTGATGAGTCACTGAACTCTACCTCTGAAACTAGTAATATACTATATGTTAATTAATTGAACTTAAATACAACTAAATAAATAAAGGGTCTAACAATATGATTGTATCAGCAGCAACTAACAATGGGTAATTCGTTAGTTTCATTGAACATCTAGGTTATTGAGAAGCTGTCATGACTACTACCCAACGTTACGTAAAGAATTCTGATAGGAGTAGGAGAACATTGTCAGACTAAACTTTAACCAAGGCATTGCTGAGTTCCAAGTGTTTGAATTTGCTAACAGTACAGTTGGCCCCAGTGTGAATCATCAATATACATTACCCGGTGGTAGTGGCAGGAAGTGATGTCAAGCATTTTACGCATTTCACATAATATATATTTTCTGTTCTAAACAGACGTCTGAAAGTATTACGTCCTCTAAAATGACTTGAGTTACATGCAGATTCATGTTATACTATTTCTGTAAACCGGTTTTAATGAAAAAAAATAATAAAGCATACAGGAGAGGATGAGAATTAGGCCACAAAGGTGTTCCTTGTGGACTAGAGCAGCCTTTGCTGGTAAGTGATTAAGTACCTTGTTCAAATTATGACAAAATCATATCTGTCTCTTCAAGCTTTTAGGAGACATTGAATTTTCCTATTATCAGTGTGAAGGATTATCTTTCTCACAAAGTCCTTCCTATTTAAGTCCACTCCAGCAATCTCATTCTACCTGAATTATCCTTTCTTGATAATTCAAGATTGGCCCTCATTCAGGGAAATGCATGCAGGAGATAGTCGATAAATACTGTTGGTACAAAATTAAAGCAAGTTTCTTCTCATAATCGTTAACTTAACCATTCAGAGAAATCATTGATGGTCTCCATCCCTCTGTGACTATAAAAATACTAACTGATGCCTAAAACAAGCTCATCCTGATGCTAATGAACTAATCTCCAGTTTGCCTTCACTTCTCTTCCTATGGGTTGAAATATCTGTTTACCAGAGCCATATCTGTTCACATATCTGTTTATTCCAACTACACTAATTATTGTAATTATGCAATAAAAATTCAATTTTATAAACTGATTAAATATGAATGCAAAAAGAAAGAAAGGTATTCCTGTGAAAAAGAGCTGTTCCTTTGAAAAATATTTACTAAAGACAATGTACACATAATGCTGTGCCACAGGCATGGGTGATGGGATAACTCTAAACTATTAGGGGAAAGTTATTAAAATCTTAAAGAGGAGCACCCGGGTGCCTCGGTCAATTAAGCATCTGACTTCAGCTCAGGTCATGATGCCAATGTCCTGGGATGGAGCCCAACTTCGGGTTCCTCTCTCAGCAGAGTCTTCTTCTCCCTCTGCACCGCCCCCCACCCTCCCCTTGTGCTCCTCCTCTCATTCGGCATGCTCTCCCTCTCTCTCTCAAATAAATAAATAGAATCTTTAAAAAAAAAAAAAGCTTTAAAAGATTTAGCTCTCAGATTATTTTATTATTTTAATAAAAATAATTATTTTAATTATTTTTATTATCTTGAAATCCAGACACCTATAGAAATTCAACCCGGTGTTTATAGCTAAGGCAATTAAAGTGTAGTGAATGGAAGCAATAATGCGGTCCTAAATCCCAATTTGCAGACCATTTTAGGAAAAAAAAAAAAACCAAACATCGATGATAAGTCAAAAGATTAACCTTTCATTGCACATAACAATTTTAGGTACATATAAATGATATTTTACGATTCTCGACTGTGATCAACATTCTCCTTTGTCCCAATCACTATTGGATTGAATCCAATCAAGTGAGATGGACTTCACTGTACTATCTTAGGACAACACCCAGTATAAGCAGTGAGTAATATAAAATGCATGCTTAGATTATTTTAATTTAACCTCAAAACCTACAGTTATAATTTCCCTTCATGTTGATTTTGTCACTGTACTAAGATCTCCCCGGAACTCCAGCATCCAGTGTTACTAAAAAAGCAAAACAATGCCCTGAAGAAATCTTTTCATTCCTATCACCTGAGGCCTACAGAAAGAAAAAAATAGATTCCTAGCCTACCTTCTGTGTACAAAGCCAGAAAATCTCCTTCCTAGCAAAAGGTTAATAAAATTTGCCCTCAGCAGATAAATGAATCTCTAGAAACAAATAAAGAAAAAACACTAAAATCGGAACTGCACGGACAAGGAACAGAGAAATGTCTTGCAACTTGAAAGAAAAATTTGGTAAACAGGTCAATATTTGCTGGAAGAAGAAGGAACCTAATTTTCCAGAAGGTATCTTACTCATTTTTTATTTATCTCTCTTATTTCATAGCAAAGACTGAAATTGGCTGAAAGGACAAGTTTGTAGCTTCCTCATTTTGACTTAACTTGTTTTTCTGGATTCCGCCCTTGGGCTCTCCTTGGGGCCCAGCTCTCCGGCCCAGTCAGGCCATTTTGAAACAAACACCCATGTTTAGAACTCACCGTTGACACAACAACTGGAGTTATGTGGTGATTTCTAAAAGGATAAATAGTTCCACCACTTTCCAGATTTCACAGAAGCCACCTAACTCGAAGCAAGCTGCCATGACCAGCCAGTCCCAGGGGATCCACCAGCTTCTTCAGGCAGAAAAAAGGGCCAAGGACAAGCTAGAGGAAGCCAAGAAGAGTAAGTCTCCATGCTGTCTGACCCATGAGGGATTTGTCACAAAAGGGATCAGGTGGGTGCTGTGAAATGAGCATGGACCTTCGAGGCAGGCCGACTCTGGTTCAAACCCTGGCATTTCCACACTCCCTCAGAAACTTTGGCAATTCATTGAAACTATGCAGTTGGGACTCCTGGCGGGGCTCGGTGGTTGAGCCTCTGCCTTCGGCTCAGGTCATGATCTCAGGGTCCTGGGATCGAGTCCCACATTGGGCTCCCCATGGGCAGCCTGCTTCTCCCTCTGCCTGTGTCTCTGACACTCTCTGTGTCTCTCATGAGTAAATAAATAAAATCTTTAAAAAAGAAAGAAAGAAAGAAGCTATGCAGTCATATGTCCCTACGGCCAGAGTAGGCACAAAATTCTCTAACTCGGAGCATTTGGCGAGGTCATGAGCTAAATGAAATCATAATGGAGATTGAAGTTATAGGGAGATATGACCTTAAGCCTTGTCTCTGCAACTTCCTTAATGTTGCCACGCCTCAGTTTCTCAATATTGTGAAATGGTTAAGAGATAGACATCTTTCAGACTGACTCTACTTACTAGTGAGAGAACTTGAGTGTTTCTTACCCTCTGTAAACTTCAGTTTCTGTTTCTGTAAAATTGTGATAATTAACAGTTATCAGGCTCATTCCCATCCCTCTCTTCATGGCTTTTAATATCCAATATTTTAATAATGTTTCCACGTTATTCTCATTTTCTAACTTTCTTTGTATTTATTCATGTATCTATATATTAGTACAGAATGTTCTCAATAAATGTCAACCCCTTTCCTACTCCCTTTGATATTCACCACAACCATATGAATGAGATGTTACTATTATTTCCATTTTATGTATGCAGAAACTGAAGTTCATTATTTGTCAAAGGTCATATTTAAAAATAGAAAACACCATGCAGGCACCACATTTAATGCTTATCTTATTTATTCCTCATACCAATTCTTTCCGCAGAGATGAAAAGTGTTGCTTAGATAAATTATGCAATTTGCCCAAGGTCACCCAGAGAGTAAGTGGTATAGACAAGATTTGGACAGAGTCTGACCCTCAAGCAGAGATCTTAACTGTACTGTACAAAATTTACATAATTTTTATTATGAATAAACTAACATGTTGTAGATCAAATGACTCAAATTCAAGTTCCCTGGGACAAGACCTATGTTTTTTACACTCTCTCATATCACATCATAACTTAATCTATAATAACTTGTGCCATTTATCTTCCTCCTAATTGTATGTCTTGCATCTGCAATTTATTTATTTTTATTTTTTTAATAATAAGTTTATTTTTTATTGGTGTTCAATTTGCCAACATACAGAATAACACCCAGTGCTCATCCCGTCAAGTGCCCCCCTCAGTGCCCGCCACCCAGTCACCCCCACCCCCCACCCTCCTCCCCTTCCACCACCCCTAGTTCGTTTCCCAGAGTTAGGAGTCTTCCATGTTCTGTCTCCCTTTATGATATTTCCTACCCATTTCTTCTCCCTTCACCTCTATTCCCTTTCACTATTATTTATATTCCCCAAATGAATGAGAACATATCTGCAATTTAATTCAAAGTTCAGCAAGATAGCGGCCATGTCTTAAAAACATCGTTTATGTGACTCTTTGGGTGCATATAGTGACAGGAATAGAGTAGGTGGGGACAAAAGCTTGTTCAAATGGATCGGATGAGGTGTGGGAACAGTACATCAGAATGCACCAGAAGAAGCCAGGAGTGAGGCAGTGCTCAGTCCATGGGGGTTTTTTGACCAGGAGTAAAATCATTTTTCTTTCTTAAGTTGATTTCCCAAGTGGTCAGCAATGTAGGCACCAACAGCAAAAGCAAAAGACAGCAAAAGACTCCATGTAGAAGGTGCTAGAAGAGAAAAAGGAAGGAGAAAAAAGTTAAGCCAAACTTTACCTACTTCTCCATTTCTTTTTCTATAACAAACCATGCAAATGACTGAAACGGTATGAATGCAGAGTAATTTTATAGAAAAGAAAGCAGTCCGGGACCTGCTGGTTGAAGTAGTGTAGAAAACTTCCTTATCTTTTATTCAAATTTCTTTAACCACATTTAAACCTTCCAGAACAGAAGAGCAACTTATTTGAAGGTGCTTTAATCATATTACCTCCGCTTCCTTGTTATGGAAGAAACACAATGACAATATCGGGCACATTGATCAATACTGTCCTATGATCCATGTAATGTTGACCAACTGTGGGTCTTTTCTCAAAGCCACTGGAGAAGAGAGGCTCTGTGGATCATGCAAGTTGTTTGGAGGAGAAGACCACTCAAAACCATCTAGACACAGATTTCACAGTAAAGAGAAAAGCCAAACTTGTTTTCCTTCTCACAAGCGAATACACCATCCTTGGACAACCTCTCCTCAGAAGTCAGTATTGGAAAATTTGTATTGTCTTATTTTTATACAAAGTGTTCATATTATTGGCCAATGACTTAAAGTCATTGTGGACTTTTCCCCTGGTCTTCAGTCATAAATAATCAAGCAAACATTCAATCTGCAAGCGTAAATACTTAGGCCTTAAAAACATTCCAGAAAATATTTTTCCAAACGTTATTCCCACAACCAACCTCTACTCTCAGTGTTACAGAGCACGTCAGTCTACCTTCTTGGCCTCCCGCAGCACGGGCTTTGAGGACAGGTTTCACCAGATAGAAGCTGTTTTCTTACATAACTATCAGCAGGTAGCAGTTTGGGGTTACAACTTCAACTATTGCACCAATCATACTTACTTCTTAAGCATTCTATAGCGAAACAAAATGCTACCTTTGTGCCTGGTATTTTGTGACTTCTTTCATTTCGCTAGTTTTGTCCTTTATTAATTTATTTAATTTAGTAAGTATTTATTGAGTGCCTGCTTTTTCCAAGCCACCTCGGTATAGACACCAAAGAGTAGACCTAGACTCTTCCTTAAACAATCTCAGTGCGAGAAATACATAAAGGAGCAGAAAGGGGAGAACGGAATCATGATGTGAGAGGTACATATAGCCATCATTTTTATAGACCCATATATTTCACCTTTTTTTTTTCACTAGGTGATTCATTTGAAACTCTGACATACGAAGGCAGAATAATTTCAGATGAGAGCCAATAAATCACAGTACTGAACACCATCGTGGGAAGTCTGTGTTCACTTTCTCTTTCTTAGATCCATTTACTTGAAAGCACATCAGAAATCTGCACATAAGGGTCCCTGCTAGAGAGGTCTCCTGAATATATATCTAAAAGAAAGGAAGAAAGAGGGAGACGGAGAGAAGGAATGACACGGGGTGGGGTGGAGGACAGCAATTCACATGGTAATCATTTTAGAAAAATGCAAAATTCATAAGGTGGCATATTTATATATTATGCTGCAAAAATATTAATATATTCCATTAAAGAAGACGGCCTCAGATCTCAGCCAGGTTGTTACATAATACAATATAGGGTATAAATGCTTTGCCTTAAGGGATACAGATAAGGGTTTATAGACCCGACGTATCAGGAATTCTCCTGAAGGCTGCTACGTCTGCAGAAAAGAATCATACAAGTCCCTACCCTCACGACACTCAGTCACTCACCTGCTACGAGGGAACATTGTGGCCGGGGTGGGGCGTGGGGAGGTTGTGAACAGACTCAAAAAGTTGGGATGTGAGGCAACAGATTGGCAGAGCATTGGCTTTTTCTTCTGTTTCTGTGTGTAAGTCATTTAGCTTCTCTGAGTTTCATACTCTCTTTTTTAAATAAAAATGTAAGATATATATGATATACATAAATATCAGATATATATATGACCATGATGTTTTAAAGATCAAAAAACTATACCTAAGATAGAATGCAATCAAAATAATAATAAATATTATTATTTAAAAATTGTATTTATACATGAGAGACACAGAGAGAGAGAGACAGAGACAGAGAGAGACAGAGACACAGGCAGAGGGAGAAGCAGGCTCCTTGCAGGGAGCCCAATGTGGGACTCGATCCCAGGACTTCAGGATCAGGCCCTGGGCTGAAGGCGACGCTAAACCACTGAGCCACCTGGGCTGCCCTATTTTTATTTTAAAGATTATTTATTTGTTTATTCATGATAGACACAGAGAGAGAGGCAGAGACACAGGCAGAGGGAGAAGCAGGCTCCCTGCAGAGAGCCGGATGCGGGACTCGATCCCAGGACCTGGGATCACGCCTTGAGCTAAAGGCAGATGCTCAACCACTGAGCCACCCAGGCATCCCAAAATAATTATTTTTATTTTTAACTCCTTAATATGTATACTTCTATATTACTATAAGCAATACAAATAAAGGAATGGAATAAAAGAACAAGACAAACAAGTTTCATTTCTTTTTAAAACAGACTCAAGTTCTGGGTCAGCTTTTCCTGCAAGGAGGAAGACGTGGGCTTCTTCTAGTAGACACCTAGAAAAGCTGGGGTGTCTGCCTCTGTTCACAGATTACAGATTAAATTATGTTTATTAATTAAGGCAAAAATATTTTATGGGCAAAATAGCCTTACTCTCTGGTTAGATTTAGGTGGAATCACAGCAGCTTGACCCTATTTTAAATTATTTTAGTTGAAGTTAACACTTTTTGCCTTAAAAATTGTTCATTATTCAAAACATAAAAGTGAGTGTGTTGGTCCAAGACAAGTCACATTTTTACCGCAAATCATCAGAGCTGCCCTGGAGCTCCAGGTGTGGGGAACTAAACAACTCCCGTCCGAATTAGAATAGAAATTCAAGATACCATCCTCAAGAGGAGGAACGGAGACTTGTGTTTCTCTCAAATATATGGTATTTTTACTTGTAGTCATGACCTTTTACGAGATCAGTATTTATTCCACTTGACCCATTGCAAACTTGGAACACTCAACAGTTCTTTCGAATCAGGGCTCAAATGCGCCTGACTCCACAACACATGAAGAACCCATTTCTCCAGCTATTTGCAAAGGTGAACCTTAGCCTTTCCCATAAACAGACGCTCCATCCGTCTCCTTTGGCAGCTGCCGAAAATAGTGTTTGTGTTTAACT